TTTATTGTTTCTTCACGTTTATTTAAATCTCTGGTATATGAAGGTTGGTACACCATTTGTCAGATCACACCAGAAGTGTTTAAAATGTCATTTGTTTAATCATACAACTATTAACCTTATAACAAAATAAAAGACGTTTTGGTTTTGTGCAGTTCTATTGCAGTTGCTGTATTCCGTTTTGTTGTTTATCTTGAGTCTGAGCAACTGGTGGCAGGTCGTTTTATTATACAAAAAGAGTAAAGATACCATTTTTAATAAGATAAACTCTTTCGTCATATGTTACTTTCTGAGCAATTCTAGACACATTATTAAATATATTAAACAACACTAATCAAATGTTTTTGTTTAATTTTCGATGTCTTTCCATCATCTGTTATAGTTCAAATGTCCCAGCAATAATATATCTCCCTTTAAATACCCCATCTGTTATTCTATTATATCTTTGACGATGTTTATAATTTTATAAAAAGTTGCAGTGCCCATACAAACTTCGGAGCCTATAAAAATGAGCAAGTTAACAAATTCGTAGTGGAATGTGTCATATTTAACAACTTTTCAACTAGAAGATTGCAAAACCTCATTTAATTTAAAATTTGAAGCCATGATAATATTGCAAGACATGGATCAAGACATTAAATAATATATCTGAAGGATCTTGAACATAAAAGAGGATTTTCCGAGCATATCCAATCGCACATAGGTATGCCAATAGGTAGATACTTAACGGTATTTGAATGCTATCACATGAAACTATTATGTACTGAGATGAGTGCAAACCAGAATGGTCATTTTTTTGTTCAAAAAATAACAAATAATGAACGTAATTTTAAAACATAAATTATCTGTTTTTACTGTTGTTTTTTATTAGTTTGGAACTTTTTTGTTGCCCCTGTAGAATATATCGACCTGCTTTATTATATATTGTGAATTGTTGTTCAGAAACCACCGGAAGTAATGTCACATTAACGATATAAAGTCAAAGAATTGGATAGAAATGCCAGAACAATAGATCCCTTATATCTTGAATTGAAATAGTATGTCGATTGAGTGAATAACCATGCCGATAGAACGTGGAGATTTCAGATGCAATAAATAAGTTTGTCATACATAAAAATGGACATTTCATATAAGATACAATGTTGCTACTGTTAAGTCAATAATTTTGCGATTTTAGACAACTTTTAAAGGAATCTAAGACACAGAAACTTCTTTTAACTGAATCTTTCAATCATTAGCGTGTTCAAATTTCTTGAGATATGAGAAAAAAGATTAACTCGTAATAAAAATAGATGGACCAAAGGTACAGATATAATTAGTAGGTAAAAATAAATACAAACAGGACTAACGACAAATTTGTCTTGATAAATATAGCCTCATGTGAAAAACGCAAAAAAAATCAATGAAAGCAGAAAGTATACAGCAAATACGGTTTATTACGGTATTATTATTCGCATTTTCATTACTGCTTTCATCGCTTGAGTACATTTATTTTGGAAAAAAAGTTTTCTTCCACAATTTTAAAGTCATCCTACTGTATGTTTAAAAATGAAAGAATGTCACACATTCTTTTAATCACCAACCTACAAAACATATGTTTTGATCTCGAAAACATCACAAACACTGGAAACATGGTGCTCAAAAATGTTAATTTTGTAAGAGAAGTGGTAAGGCAGATGTCCATAAAAAACGTATCCGGAAAAAATAGGAAGTGACAGATGGCCCCAAGGGATGGATATTAGTGAATGGCAACTACACGATGGCTAAGAGAAATAATAAGCGTATTCCAGGGAAGTATTTTATTAGTAGAATAGTAAAATCAAAATGGAAGTAAGTACAACACTTTTAAAATGTGCAGCTTTTTTATTGCGGATGAACGAGTATTGTTAACTTCAAAAAAGTCGAAGATATATGACATATAGCTTGAAAATGAAATAATTATCTAGCATATTCCGAAAGTTTCATCATGCCGGAATATCCCATCAGCATTAGAACATTAAACTACTTGGTGCGAAGATTAAATGTCGCTAAATGCATAATATCAAAAAACTGCAAGTATCGGACCATCTCAACAAATGAAGCAATAAGAGAAAGACCAAACACAAAATTAACCGTTACATTGAACAATGACGACTGTTACGAATCGGGCACGCAAGAAAAGAACAACTTGAGGGCACTGTCAATTCACCATGACTGAGAAATTTACAAGAGAATTACTGAAAAGACATGACACACAAACAGGATACGATAAACCTTGTAAAATACATCTTTTTAAAAAATTTATCAAAATGAGAATTTTTTAAAAGTAGTTTTCCTCCCACATACTATCACTACATCCGTTCGAAGACTCCCACTCTCCACAACGTATGCTCCATATCTCACGTTTACTCACGAAAATAAAGTCATCTTTTTATTTTTGAAGATTTAAATATCTACTGGATCGTAAAATAGGTAGATAAAAGTGGAATTTGTCAACAGGCTGGCAAATCATAGATAGTGATTGATTAGATACCTCACTACATCCGGTCCTGGGCGTGAAAAAATTCTAGTGATAAGCGAGAAGAGAAAAAATGGAGATGTGTGGCAACGTAGATAAAATTTATTGTCGAGCAATTTTGTAGTTCTAAAAGATCATATACAATCAACAGTATAGATGAAATGACAGGATAGTAGAAGGATTGTTTCTTGTTTTGTACTATTATATATTAGTTTGCTTATACTCTTCATATCTAAAGATGAACTATCTGAAACAAATCTGCGGGAGAATATATTTCTTTTACTTAAACATTTACAAGAAATTTGGAAGTTTCGGAAAACCTAGAGGTTTCGCAAATGTCTTTATGAAGATATACGATATTTCTAATAAAATCCAAACAGAAACTATATGCATTAGTTCAGTCTTCTGGAACTTATATTACGGAGAATATCCCAGTCCAATTTAACCAGAATTTGTGACAGCTTCTTGTCCAAATTGATATTAGAATGCAAGAAATCAAAGTCTCAGGAATACTCTAAACGATGGAACAAAATAAGAGCCAATGAAAGATAGGTTTTAGGATAAATTTAATCAATTTGGAACGGAATACCAAAAGTAGCATAAAAAACGAACAAAACTTTGGTAGAGCAGTAATGTGCGCTAATTTTTTATGGAACAGAAAACTTCTTTTTGACGTGATGTTACTAGAAAATTGGTATTTTCTAGTATATTTATATATGATATAAAAAAAGATAGTCATTATTTGTAACTTATCTCAAAATCTATAAAAATAGGGAGACACAATATTTTGTGCAGCAAACTTTTGAAAGGAATAATTTTAGAGAAGGGTAGTCAAAAATATTTGTCACATTACAATTTAATATGTGGATCAGTGGAATTTAATGCTACATGAGAAGATTAAAACAACAAAAAGTCATTGCTCAAAGCATTAGAGATCCATTAAACGAAATCTCTTTGGTTTTCCCTCCAAAATCAAGTCAAAATTCCCACACTTTACTAATTTATCGATATATTTGTCTGACTGATGAATTCTAAAGGAATACTTAATTTTTTAAAAAATAATAAGAAAAAAATCTTAAGGAATGCTCTAAACGGTTGCTGGTTTTTATAAAAAAAAATATCCATTTAAGAGATTAGGTTATTCCCTGCGGGGTATTTTTGTTATGCAGTTTGTTCAGAGTCCATTATAACGACGAACTATAAAAAATGTTAAGATTAAAACCAACATATTTTTGATTTAAGGATTTTACGTAGCTAAGTTGATAAATAATGATACTTTTAATCTGTTCTAACGATTTTTTTAAATATATCTAATGTTAATTAACGAATTTTTCAAATGTGTATAGGTAACCATTTGACCACTATAATATTGAGTTTACCTTCAAAATCAACTCAGAAATCCGATATTGTTTTATTTTATGGACAGATTTGGCTAATACTTTTGAAGATGTCTCAGATACTTTTCAAGATAAGTCTCAAAATTGTTAAAAACAATTCAATTCAATTAAAAACATTAAATTTTTTATAGAAACATAAATATGACATAATTATGAACATCTAATAGTTTCGAATATCAGTTGATACAATTTTTGGGTAATATAATAAAAAAAAAAGACAAAATTGGACACGGAAAGCCTTAGATGGCGTGTAAAACCATAAAGAAAGATGAGACGAGAAAATATGTTTCATGTGTAAGAACTTATATTCCAAAATTAACTCAAAGACGAAGTTGAACACACATTTATCTATCCTATTAAAATAAAAAAATAAACACTGAGAAGAGAAGTTTGGAACTTACGAAAATCTTGTTTAATACAGTTTTTTACTTAAAAATACTTTTCAAATACTATTAATAATTCATTTGCCTTGTTCAGTACCTTTTTGGCTATAAGAGTTGGCCTCTATCGGTCTACAAATATTTTGGTTTTCGAAATCACTGCTATTAATGTTAAAAAATTATCAAATTTTACTTTTAACCTTTTAATAACAACATCGTATGTGTAAATGTATCAAGTTTTGTGAATTATAGCAATACATTCTCTTTATTAAAATAATGTGTCCTCTTACTTGGATATTTAAATGGCTGTGTATGTTTAAAAACCTTATTTTAACCCGAATGTAGCTGCTTATAAAATATAAACTGGGTAGGTACTTCCGGTAGACTAGTTTCTGTATATCCTGCTGTACGATTGATAAGAAAGTAATGGATATGTAAAAAACGCGTTTTACAACGCTCAGGGATTCGCCAGAACCGCGTGGTTGAGGGCTAAAATACCATTTGGGAAGGAAATTTTGGATTTTACGAGCCTGCCTCGCCGTCTATGGTATCCGTAGCACTTATGTACATATCGGACAGCGAGCTACGATTTGGCTGGCCGAAGAGGAGATATTGTTAGTGAATGGAAACACACCCACACACCTCAATGTCATACACATACAGGTGGATCTAATATTAAGGTCGCACACAACAATCGGGTCTCCTCAATATGGACCATTAAAAACTCACTGTATTGAACTGTACACTGCAGAAAACGACTTCCAACTCACTGAACTCTCCTTCTGAAGATAATCCAACATTTTATTCACTAGACACTCACTGAACTATTTTTTGAAACTCCGAGATGAAGTCCGGCAACGTCGTAATTGGAACAACAGCGGAACGTTCTCACTCTATGGCATGTCGGAAAAGACTGATGCGGCGCGGGTAGGAGTGTAAGGAATGACGATCGTGGCGCTCCCGCCGGCAGAACGGAGAACGTAGCCCGAGCTTTTTATGAATGGGAAGCCGCCATTATGAATGAAACGACGTACATTCAAGGAAACTTGCGAAGTATTTGCAACATAGGCGCAGATTTGGTTTTTTAGCGGGAACTCGCCCGAATCTTACCCCTTTATACGAGTACGTGCAATATTTATTTTTTATACTCCATTATTTGTAACGAACACAATTCGTATTTATAAATAAAACGCTGAAACATTAGTGTATTTCTTTTAAATTTTCATATAATCGATAAGTTTTCAACTACAGAGATTTGTTACTATAATAAAAATGAAATATTGGAATATTTCCAGCTCAAATCTCAATTATTTAGTATTTCTACAGATCGCAAAAGTTCTTTCTTATTATTTGTGTGCCTGTTTTATTTTTTTTTTGTCTGCTTGTCAATTATGTAGGTATAATACGAGACTTAGAGCATTTTCAGTATCGGCAACATGATTCATCTTTTCCAAAATTTGTCTAGTTATTTTCGTCCCTGGGTATAAAGGTCTAAATAAGAGACTAGACCCTCTTAAATCTTTTCCATTCATCATTATTATTCCTATCTATTGCCAACAGTTTGTCGCAAAAATTTTCCTATACTGGATTTGGAAATTAATGATAACACAACTTTATGACAGGAGATTATAACGTTCTTTATACTTTTTCTTCTTCAAGTCCCATCCCCTCGGCGGAGGTCGGCAATCATCATCATCATAGCTACTCGGACTTTTGAGATGGCTGCTCTGAAAAGTTCATTTGATGTAGATCCGTACCACTCCCTCAGGCTGCGCAGCTATGACATTCTACGCCTCCCTATGCTTCTCTTTCCTTGTATCTTTCCTGCATAATCAGTTGGAGCAATGTGTATTTCTCTTCTCGTGTAGTATGTACGAGATGTTCAAATTTTCTTGTTTTAATTGTATTTAAAATTCATCCTTCCAGTTTTTCATTGATGTCGCATTCAAGGTCCAAGATTCCATTCCATAAAACAAAATCGAAAAAACATAGCACCTCGCCGACCTAACTCTTAGTTCCAATTTTCTTCTAACGTAAGTTCTATGTGCTCCAGATCTCGTCTTTCATCATCGACCAGTTTATCGATATATTCTGCCCCATCTTTGTACTTTTTCGTCTGTCTGAGTTATAGTAAGTAGTCCCGTGTCTATCCAAAAGAGCACCAGTGGGATTTTGTTTTCTTAATCCTGTCAGTTCTTTAACTTCCTTGTATAGGTTAAACAGACCATATTTATTTTAAAGGTCTTCGATCTCTTTGTTCTTTATACACCACAGTTCAACTCAGAAAAATTATAACTGCCCATAACTTCTTGTCGCAATATAGTACAAGAATTTATAAAAAATAATAGGACCACTCTAACAAGCTTTGCTTCCAACTTGCAAATGAGCAAGTTTGAAGCGTTTAAGCCAGAATTGCAAATGACAGTGACGGAGAACATGAGTTTACTTTACCATATACAAATAGAAATGTCAAAAAGCACATAAATTTATTAGATACCTAAATAAATATATCATTCTCTTTGGATAACATAATTTCATCATCAACATCATTATCACTACATTCATCACTTCCCAAAGAAATTATATCGAGTATAGAAGGATGATTATACTGAGTTTCCAGAATTGCTCTTCCTATGCTATGCATGCCTTCTAGCTTTTTGTCAAATTTTAAAATACATTTTGGATAGTGAGTTATTTCGTAATTGATGAATAGCTTTAAGTTTAACATACATAATCGTTTCTCTTCTACCGTAGATGTCGAGGAAGGTGAGTCTAGCTCTGATGAATTTTCTTCATTCTTTTCCGTTCTTTGCCATTTGTGTTGCTTCCTGTCAAGATTTGCCCTTATTTTGTAATATCTCTGCTAGGTCGCTATTCCACTCTTTTATTGGTCTGCCTCTTTTGTTTTTCTCTGTTGTTTTAGCTTCCCATACTCTTTTCACTTGCTTTTTGCTGCACATTCGTGTTATATGACTGAATCATGGCATTTTTTTCTCCTTTATCGTACCAAGTAACGGTTTAATTTTGTTTCTTATGTCTTCATGTGTGGCATCACAATGCAATTTACTATTTTTGTTATTGGAAGTGGACAAAATAGTGAATTGCAGATCAGTAACCTGATCAAAAGATATCGAATTTTACCGTCAACGCTTCATTCTAGGGGGAAGTCCAAGGGTGACTTTTACATCTTTTTTAGGATCTCAAATTGACATGACTGGGTGGATTGAGTAGCACAGAAGCCGCGTTGATGATCGCAGCTGGTCCCAAGCCCGGATAAAAAAGGAGGGTTGGTGGGCCTGGTTAACATCCTACCCATTGTAAAAGAAAACAAGGCTCAAAGAACCGATATAAAGCTTCGGAACCAGATGGAACCTAAGATGGCGAACCATGCAAAGTAAAGAAAAACGAGAAGAAAAAAAAGCCCACAATCAGATTAGCAACATGGAACATTACTTCTTTCAAAAGCAAAGACCAAGAGATAATAGAAGAACTGATACATAACAACAGACATTTGTGCAATCGAAGAAACCAAGAAAAAAGGTACAGGCCAAAGAGAATATAATAACCAATATTTCTAGTATATAATGCAGTATATTTGTCCATAAAAATTTTTAAAGACAACATAAATAACTGCCTTTATATCTCCGAAAGAATAATACCTATCAACATCACTATAATGGACTATCAAAAATTAAATGTCATATCTATCTATAGCTCCGAGGACTGCAAACCTAAGAAGGAAAGAGAGGCATTCTACGAAAAATTGCAAACCATCTTGGATGAAATACGTCATGAAGAACCCTTAATTCTTATGGGTGACTTTAATGCACGAATCGGAAATGAATTAATTACAGGAGTAAAACAAAGATATAATGAAAACTATGTCAACGCAAATGGAAAACTCATGGCTAATATCTGTGCTTTTAACGAACTGAAGGATAAGAGAGAACTAAGAAATAGAGAAGGAAATTAAAGATAAACGTTGGAAATACCAAACATTTTTAACAACAAAAACAGAAAACGATAAAACAATTTACAAAGAAGCACAAGCCAAAGTGAGAAAAAAGATAACTCAAAAAAAGAACGAATCATGGGAACAGAACTGCCAAAAGATCAACACCTACATAGGAGGTAGAAGAAGCACAGAGAGTTGGAGATTGATTAAAAGTATGAGAAATAATAAGAAAAAAGACGTTATATCACCAATAACAACAGAAAAATGGGAAGAATATTTCAAAAAATTACTAACAGACCACAGACCAGAATTTGCTAATATGGAAGACAACAGGATAGGTATATGTATAAATTCATCACCATTATAAATCATTAAATCAGAGATGGAAGAAATACATCTTTGATAGTGAAAAATGGAAATTCCCCTGGTCCCGGTGACATCCCTGCAGAATTAGTGAAAGCCGGGACAGACAAACTCCAGGAACAGTTAAGAAAACTCTTTCAAGACTGCTTGAATGGGGCCGAATTACCAAAAGAATCGAAATTATCTACCATGTCAACTATCCACAAAAAGGACAGCAAGGATCAGTGTGAAAATTACAGAGTAATTGCGGTAAACAGCACAATAAGTAGGATGTATGGGAAACTTATTAAGAACAAAATAGAAAATGACTATAGAGATTACGAAGCAGAGGAGCAAGCTGGTTTAGAGCTGGGCGATCCCCAGTAGACCACCTGTACTCCATTACGCAAGTTATTGAGAAAAAAACAGCCTTCAATAAAGAAGTTCACCTGATGTACGTAGACTTACAAAAAGCATATGACAGTGTACCCCTAAGTAAACTATGGTCAACCTTACAGCAAACCAACATTAAGAATGGTCTTATCAAAGCAGTCTGTATAATGGGACGACTTCAAAAATTAAAATTGAATCAAGGATATCTAAATGATTTAAGGTCACGAAAGGACTAAAGCAGGGTTGCTGTATTTCGCCTACCCTTTTCAAAATTTATCTGGAACAAGCACTCAAGCTATGGAAAAGAAAATGTAATGGCATCCCTCTAATGGGAATCCCTCTCAATGACGAGACTACATTGTACACCTTATGTTTCGCTGATGACCAAATACTGATTGCCCAGGATCATGACGACTTGAGTTACATGACTCGGAAGCTAATAGAAGAATATAACAAATGGGGTCTAGAAGTCAACATTAAGAAAACTGAAGCCATGTGTATTGAAGGGACAAAACAGTCCATTATATTAGACGATGGAGTAGAAATTAGAAACTGTGATGAATACAAGTACTTGGATATGAAGATAACTCAAGATGAAACACTCGATGCTGCTATAAAAGACAGAAACATACCATATATGGGTTTTGACCCATATATTTTGGTGGCTCATAGCATGTATACCCCGTTTACACTGATGATAGAATTAACATTCCGAAAACGTTCTGTAATGTAATTGTAATAGCCCGTATGGGCATTTTATTATATACCTTTTATAAAGGATTTGAAATAATTTTTTTTTAAGAACAACAAAGTTTTAGATCAGGAAGATTCTGCACCAACGCTAAATTTATAATAAGGCAAGTGCAAGAGAAATCATTAGAATACAACAAACCGGCATATCTATGTTTCGTGGACCTTAAGAATTCATTTGACTAGGTCAAATTAAAGACGTTATCCACTTATTGTACGCAAGAGGTATCCCTCTGGGTAAGAATCACAAGAAACTGGGTAAGAAATTGAAAAGTAGAATGGACCGATAATACAAGCCGAATGACAACAAATAGAGTAGTAAAGACGTCAAGAGATGGTTCCCCAATAGGAAGACGATCACTAGGAAGACCAGGAAAACGATGGAATGACAACTTATTAGAGGCACATAGAAAAACAGACAGAGTCTACATAAAAGAGAAGAAGAT